TCCGTGGCCCGAGTTTGCAAGGGCGGAGGGAAGCCCCGGAACATTGAAGAGTTTGTTTCCTTGTTGAATATTAGTTGACTATAGATAGATGGATTGATTTCCGTGTGTTTGTCTTCTTACTACCATTTCAGTTGCTACAGCTGTGTAGTAAATTTTGAGATCATTAAATATGGTGCATTATATTGAGCTATGGTTGTGTGGGGTGGTTTTTTTTTTTTAGTCCTTCAAGAATGAGATTGATAACTGTATTGGGATTGTGTTAAAACTTTAGATTGTTTTTGGTAGAATTATCTTCACAGTATTGAGACTTTCTACCCATGAACCTGGTGCTCTGGTGGCCTATGGTAAGACTCTGTGCTGCAATCCCAAAGGCACATAGTTCACATCCACCAGCTGCTCTGAGGGAGAAGGATAGGCAGTCTCCTCCCATGAGATTAACTGCCTCTGAAAACCCACTGGAGGGTCAGCTATGGGTTGGTACTGATTTCAGCCAAAATCGGTCTAACATAGTTCCATTTAAGATGTTCCTTGTGCCAGAGTCTCATAAAAACCCAGCTTGCACTTCTGGCATCTCTCTCTCAAGGTAATGTTCAGTTGTCTTGGATACTCTTTAGCAGAAGAATTTTGTTTGCATGTGATATTAGTGATATTGTTTGATAATTTCCACCCTCTTCAGATCACCTTATTATGGAATGGGAATAAATATGGATCTTTTTCAGTACTTGTGCCTACATGGTTCATCAGGGTAACAATAAAGAGGTAACAGTATACAATTTGGGATGCAACTAAAAGCCATGGGCAACAAAGGCAGGACACAACTCAGGTACACGGATGATATCTGAGAAGGGCCCAGAAGAAAGATCAAGTCTCTCCCTTCATAAACCAGGGCAGCCTCAGATAAGTTCCCCAATGGAAAAGGTTTTTCTCAGGGGAAATTCTCTGACAGGTCTCCCCTAGAACACAACAGCTCTGCCCTCTGATGCCAACCATTTTATAAGTAAGTCAGTGTACTCCTTGTCAAGTGTAGGGAGTAACTGACAAGATTCTCACTCAATGTAGCTACAGGTCAACTACTAGGTAAAGGATAGGCTCCCTCAGCCTTTGGAAGAGGACAAATAACTACAAGAGCAAATGGACTAATCCCCTGGCCGTCTGTGGCCTAACCAATTATTCTGGGAGAATTGCAAACCTTATGCCGAAAATAGCCATATAAAAGAAAATAACCTATCGATTGTTCACAGGGTCGCTATGAGTAATAGTTAACCAGATGTCACCTAACAACAAGTGCACCAAAATCACTATCAGAATAAAATAATCTCCCCATGAGAGAATTTGTAATTTTTAAATACTTAAATAAATAAAAGTGCTAGTGAATAAAATAGAGTAAGAATTAAATAATTTATTATCAAGAAACTTGCCATTAATCTATTTCACCAACATACAAAAACATTTCAGTGTATATATAATCGAAACAGATAAACTTTAAAAATTATTGTAAAAAAATGAGAATAAAATCAGATAACAAGTTGTGATTTTGTCTGTGCCCTGGAGAAATCTGGTTTATATGACAGGAATGTTGATTAAGCAATTGACCTATATAGCCAGTAAGAATTAAATCTGTTATTTCTTCAAGTAAAGAGGGAAAAGAAAGATACTGTGAATTCTCCAAAACTCAAAGTTAATCTGGTTGGTTAATCTAGAGAAATTCTTTGTGTTTTCCACTTCTAAGCAATAGAATGAACATGAGGATCACCAGTGAAGAATGAAGAGGTAAAGTTGTAATTTCCTTCGGTTAATTTAAAATGTATTAATTTGGGAACCAAGTCCTATTCACTAAGGAAATGAGTCTGTCCTTTAAGGAACAAGTGCATTTTTAACAGACTCTGGAACTCGGCTGGCATAGTAGTCATAATTCCTCAGGGCGGCCAGGACTCCTGCTGAGTTCATGTGCTTCACTTCTTTGTTGTAATGAAGAGAATTTCCATGGATATCAGTCAATTTGCCTACAGAAAACATTAAAACAATGTCAGTGTCTAATTGGATCATTATGCTTCTAGCGATTTTTTAAGCTCCTTTTGCTTCCCTATCCAAGAGTATCACATTAATTTAGGGAGAAATGAGAAAGAAAATGAGTGATTATAAGAATGAAAGTTTCCATCTACTTCAAATTTGACTAAAAGCAAAGTTTTAACTAAATGAAGGAAAAAAATTCTTATTTTCCTGTCTACTTACTATCACTACACATTTTTAATTTCTATGTTAGAATTAATTCAACTTAAATAAAAACTAAGTGGGTAGAATTAAACAAATATTGATATCAAATAATGAAATTTGTTTCCTCTCTTTTGGAGATGATTACTTTTCCAATTGGTTATATAACACATAGACAGTGACCCTCCATCGGGTTTCCAAGCTGTAAAGTCCTCACTGACGCACACCGCCTGAACCATTCCCTGTGAAGCAGCTGGTAAATTCAAAGTGCTGACCTTTCAATTAGCAGCCTAACACAATCCACTCTGTCTCTAGGGTTCCTTTCTACTATAATGTTGTTGTGAGGTGCCATCAAGTCAAGTACAACTCATAGCGACTCTGTGAACAAAAGATCTGAACCCTGCTCTATTCTGTGCCATCCTCATACCTCCTGACACACAAGAGCGCACTGTGGCAGTCACCGCATCAATCCATCTGGTTGAGGGTCTTCCTCTCCTTTGCTGACCCTCCTCCACCCTTACTGTTTTTCCTCATATCAACTGATTTCCAATCTGGGCTCTACCACTACACTACTACAAGTATCCTTATTCCTCTAGTGTTTCTAGGGTTTTCAAAGGCCTACTTTTTAACACATGGATGCCAATCCTGCTTCCTAGTCTGTCTCAATCTGGGAGCTCCAACAAACCCTGTCTCCCATGGGTAACCCTTATGGCATTTGACACACCAGTGCCGCAGCTTTGAATATGCCAGCAACTCCAAGTTATCTCAGTTCATCAAAGTGACAGACAAGTGCTGTACTAATACTTTTTTTTTGTACTAATACTTTATCTGGCAAAATTAAGTGAAGAATGCTCCGAAATTATAATTGTTATCAATGTAATATATTTATGGAAGAAACCATTATGAAGAAAAATGTAACTTATCAATGTTAATAAGATAGATATTGCTAAAAAAACTACTAAGAGATATGATAGACTAAAAATCAAGTCATTTGTTTAGAACAAGTTTTTTAATTTGACAAGGAATTTTAAAAGTACTGGTTACCGAGAGGATTAGTGAATTTCTGTCTTATTTTAAATTAAAAAATAATCTTACTATGTAGAATATGGGGAGCTCTGGTGGCCTAGTGGCAAGAAGTTGCACTGCAATCCTGAAGGCCACCAGCCGCTCTGCGGGAGAAGGATGGGAAATCTCCTCCCGTGTGATTAACTGCTTCTGTAAACCCATCGAAGGGTCAGATATGGGTCGGCTCCAACTCTAAGGTACACGACAACAACAACAACAACAACA